AACCCCACACACTTTTTTTTTAAACTTTGGGTTCTACTAACTTTCCTTCCAGACCTAAAGGGTATGGTTTGGAGGGGGGGACCAAACGCTGTGGTTGTTTTTTCTTTCTTTTCTTTAAATTTTTTTAAATATTTTAACTTTTTAAATTTTTTATGTATGTGACACTTTGTCTCCAATCTCCTATATCAACCCAACAGATTACCATGCATTCTTACGTTTTGATTTGCCAGTATTATACATTGTTATCAGCAATTAAACAATCTTTCTGTAATAAATCCTTATTGCAGCTCTAAAAAGATGACTATGAAATATGAAGAAATAAACAACTTGAGTGCTGTAGACAGCACCTGAAATGCAAGGTTTCATTCATTTAGTAGTTTTTAGCCAACTTAAAACTATTTTTTATCTCTGTATATTTTATGCTGCCAGCAAAGTTGCAGCTGCATCTTCTAAGTACACCAAACATCAGTGAAATAAAGCTGACATATGGAAAGCTGCATAGCCTATTGCTTGTTTTTGTTTTCATATCCAGCTATTTGATTCTTTAAGCAGGTTAATATTCAATTCATCTTGGGCAATATCAGAAATCACCATAGAAACTTCAGCAAATTGAGTCTTGCACGTTCCCGAAATATCACATTGTAAAGTTTATTAGCGTTGTGGTCTCTCTGACTTTAACATTGGCAAATGGTTGTTTTTTCTACATAACTCTTGTCTGAGCTGGAATCAACCTGCATTTTTGCCTTCATACTGTCTTTAGTTAAAAAGGGAAAATTTTGAACTTGGCCAGTAAATATAAACTGCAAGTTGGCTTATATGAAAGACCTAAAATTAGCATTGACAAAGGTATACAGTATCGTTAAAGATTTCACTGTTACTAATATTTGATATAATTATAATCATTCCATTATGACACAGTGTTTTTAATGCTCACCATACTGTCAACAATCATACTTACAAAGGATGAAACCAAAGTAAATCTAGAATAAATTCCCTCTGTAATTAGAGATTTCATACATGAAAGCCTCACCTATGTAAATGGAAATTGATGGCTAATTGACCACTAATCATGGGTTAAACTGAACAAGGAATTCATTTTTTTTTAATGAAAACTAAAATAATGCAATATTTCTAAATAACACAGGACCTTTTCATCATTGGTCCCTTGATAAAGAGACGGTGGTCCAGAAATAGAATGTGGTCCGAATAGAAAAGACACAATGAATTCAGTTCTTCATTAATTAGGGCATCAATAAGGTTTTGTTTCCCTCGCGATGTGGGAGCATGTGCAATTTCACCCGGGATCCCGCATTGCATGTTGCAATGTTAGGTTTGCTATGGTGCTATTACTTTTTAATGGCACACCAACCCACCTAGACATCACATGTGCATTGTATTGCACCACATCTAATGTTGAACTAAAAAAGATGCTTGCACTTCTTTCAGTGCAAATTAGCTGCGGTAGGCAGCCTATTCAAATGAATGAGTTGCCCAAATGAAGCACACCACGATGCACCCTGCAGCATCTCTGCGATGCCACATCACAGAGGTGGGAGCGACGGCTAAATTAATTTTTTAATGCATGCAGGGTAAATAGGAATTTGATTTGGCATCAGCCGCTTGCAATCGACCATTCAGCTGAGCTCAGACTGGTAGAGGGAGGAGCACAAGGAGGAGCCAATCATTAGGGTAATCTACTAACAAGGGACATGCTGATATGGTAGAGTGAGCAGAGTGACAGAGAGATGAGTTCAATAGTCTGCTTCTCTTTACACTGTCCAGGCTGTAAAAAGGACAAGACCAGTAAATGTTACATAACTAGATAAGAGAAAAAACAGGTCCCCTGCCCTGCTAGACAGTGCTGTGCTGTGTGGCAAAGCTTTGGAAATATTTGAACTGGATGTACAGAAATAAAAATCATTTGGCAGATAAAACAGCTTCCATATACCGCATGTATTTCGTCTGTGTATTTACCCCGTTTTGGGCTTGGGGTTCAGTTTTAATGGGATCTTTCTATAAATGTTTTCACACAACTGTTACACAACTTTTGCCCAAGATTAACACATTTTCCAAATACATTACATTGGTAAAATCTATGAATCGTGTATGTAAACATTTATGAATAGACTCCAAGGGGCATACAGTTTTTACACTGTTGACCACCCGCTGCTCCTCAAAAAACTCCACTCGCTTGGCCTACAAGACTCTGCTCTCTCGTGGTTCTCCTCCTACTTATCTATGCGCTCCTTTAGTGTCACCTACAATTCTAACTCCTCCCCTCCTCTTTCTGTAGGGGTCCCACAAGGCTCTGTCCTTGGACCCCTTCTCTTCTCTATCTACACCTCCTCCCTTGGTCAACTAATAACCTCACATGGCTTCCAATACCATCTCTATGCCGATAACACTCAAATTTATCTTTCCACTCCACAACTCACCCCCTCTGTGTCCTCTCGTGTCACTAATCTACTAACTGACATATCCGTCTGGATGTCACAACATTTCTTAAAACTCAATCTTTCAAAAACTGAGCTCTAGATATTTCCTTTTAATTGTAATGTCTTGTAAAGCGCTGTGCAAACTGTTGGCGCTATATAAATACTATGTAATAATAATAATATTCATAAAGCAGTGAATGTGACATCTACCAATATTTACTAGTTGTGAATCAGTCATTGTCATTTAAAACACATGCACCTTGAAAATGTATCTACAGAGAATATTTAGTGAATGTCATATTCAAGGCTTTAAAAATGATGGCTGCATTTATTTGTGTGTTTGTGTGTCGGACAATGGATATCCTGCTCAGTCTATATCCAAAATGTATCCATAAAGATCAGACAATGATCATTCTTTGACAAAAGAATACAGAGTACAAACAATGAAAATGAGTGAGGTGCAGATATAGCTAAGTACAAAACATTATTGAACCACCAGGTCAAGATCAAAGTTGATTTATTTGGGAAAATCATTTAACCATGTAGTGTAATGAATATATCGTTTTTAATCACTTTTGGTTTCAGCAAAAACAGATTCCAAGTCAATCAGGTACTAAGAACTACATATTGGAGCTATAGAGCTTTGTCATGGTTATCTCAATATTTTCCAGGATGAGTTCACAACGTGCATTGAACATCATACTAACATATTTTGCCCCCTCAAAAAAAGTCTAATATAAAATTGCAGTGTAAATGGACCTTTTGAGTCAATGTAGTATTTGACTTTACCTGTAAATCCTGCACGCCAGATGCTGGCTGTCATTCTGTCGGTGGAGTTTAGAAAATAGAAGGCAATATTTAATTTATTTTTCATTGCTAAATATAAGCCTTGCACTTTTCTAATGTTATCTACATTTTTGGCAGCATCAAGGCACAGAGGAAGCCTGCTCAAGCAATTTACAGGCAGGCTTTGCAATCACAGGAAATAGATAGCAACACCACAGGTTCCATGGTGATGCCGGCAATAGTATTTTTCTAAAACTGATTGCTTGATAACCAGAGTGTGGACAGAAATCAAACATGGTGCTTTCATGCAGCCAATCTGATCCTACTGTTTGTATGTGGGTATTCTCTTTCAGGTGGAGAAATTTCTCTGACTGTTCCTATATATATATATATTTTGAAAAGCAATGATCACTATAATGGAGCCTAATAAACATGGAAAATGAAAACCATGTCCATTTATTTGCATTAACAGTTACTAATATTTGCCCACTATGCTAAATTTTAAAACTATCTTATCCCCAGTACCCTACTGCCTTTCTCCAAACCAGTCTTGTTATAAGCACAATATTGTTAATCTATGTCTGTTTAGAAGATGGTTATGAAACTGTCTGAAGAGGTTTGTTTGGTGCTGTGTTTTGGTGCCCACCAACTATTTGAAAAATGAGCACAATTTATACTTCTTGTCATACTCAACAGCTAGAAATGTTTTTATTTTATATAGAGTAAGTGAAAGCTAAAACCCTGTGGACTCTTAATAGCTGTCTATGTCCCTGTTCCAGATAATTCTGAACTTCCAGTCTGATCACCATGACAGTAAAGCTGGCCATTCACCTTTAGATTTTCTATAGATTTTTGTTTTTCTATCAGCCTATGGTCAGATGTAAAAAGTGCAACAGATTCCTCCATCTACACCAGGGATGGCCAAACTGCGGCCCTCCAGCTGTGGTGGAACTGCTAATCCCATGAGGCTTTGCAAGATTCTCACAGCCACAGACATGACTCCCGGAGAGAGATGCTTCATGGGATTTGTAGTTTCACCACAGCTGGAGGGCCGGAGTTTGGCCATCCCTGATCTACACTAAACTGTGTAGTTGGAGGAATCGCCTGATAGGCCAAGCTTCAGTATCTTGCTGGTCTGCCCCGCTGGCCCCCCGCTTGGATGCATGCATTATTCAGGTATTTTGACAGCCAGCATGGCGGACCAGCAAGATACTGAAGTTTGGCCCAGTGGGAGATTCCTCCACCCATACAGTTTAGAGTAGATGGAGAAATCTGTTGCATTTTTTTCCATCTGACCATAGTAAAACTGCAGATAATCTATAGGTCTATGACCAGCTTTAGTAAGGTGAAAACTCTATTATGGAGACCTGTAAATCCTCTACTTTGGTAGAGTAGTCACAATATGCACTTTTTTTATGGATGATAGTCAAGGAGCTAGCTTGAAAACTAAAATGACTAATGCAGCAATGTTGATTGTTATATGTGCTATGTTACAACAGAAAAGGGCAAAATAAAGCTGATTCCCCAAAGGATATGAGAGTGCTTGTGTATGTGATGATCAACCACAATATACTGTACATCTTTCAATCCTTTGCTTCCTACTAAATCTGCCACCTCATTGTTTTTTTTTAAATCTAAACATCAGAGTTCAGTTTGAAGTAAAACAATAATAACATGGAAATAGAGGTTGAAGTATGCGTGAACATATTAAAATTGATTATCTGTACAGAACAAGACAGAAGTGCAATAAATTCATTCTTTCAACATAAGAGGCTTGTACATACTAATATGAAAGGATACTATGGACAATATTTTGCATCCTGGCCACCAAATTGACTTGTAACCAGCATCTATTTCACTTTCAATACAATCCTTACATTTAAGGTTTGTAGTGGTCAAAATGTAAAAAAGCTAAGTAAAGTGCAGCAAATAAAAGTCACGTTTCCATGAGGATGAGTTTGAGAATAATATGTTTCGCCACTGAAGCCAGCTAGTGACTCTCATCATGCATTGGAAATGTCTTTCAGGTGGAACATAGCTCAGTTTATGCTCTCTTGTCTTTTTGATCCTTCTTGGTCTTAACAGTCTTCTTGGAGAGCGCAGGAGGAGGGTTGGGGGTTTTGTGGCTTGTCTTTGGTGGTCCACTGCGACCTGTGCGACTTGCATTCTTAATCTTCTCTTGGGCTGTCTTGACTTGTTGCTCTTGCAAAGTCTGTTCCCATCTCTAAAAGAATATTTTTATATATATAAAACCTCATGATAAGAAAACATTATTATTCTAGAATAAGTCAATTATTCAAGCCTGATATTGTTTTATTGATTTTGATAAGTTTTTTTTTGTTCATAGACTTGATCTTCCTCATTTGGTGAAAGGCCACTAAACACATTAGCCTATCCTCTTGCATTCTGGTTTATATGAGCCTTAGAGCAGCCAATCAGCAATCATCTACCAGTGTTCTATCTGCGCTAAACTTATGACAAATGTATATTAGTTGCATTAGTTGCTTTAACTCTCACAGCCTTGATTACCTTTACGTACTCCATAGAAATGTCAGTCACAAAAACCCTTTGCTACTTTACTACAAGATAAATCTTGTGGGTACTCCTTGTTCTACTTAGATATACATTCTATGGTCAGATGATTGCAGACACCTGATTATCACACCTATATGAGCTTGTTGGACATCCCATTCAAAATCTATTGATTTTAATATGGAGTTGGTCTTCTTTGTGACTATAACAGCCTCCAGTCTTCTAAGAAGGTTTTCACAAGATTTTGAAATGTGTCCGTGGGAATTTGTGCTCATTCAGCCAAAAGAGAATTTATGAGGCCAAGCATTTATATTTGATAAAAAGGCCTGGCCCAAAATTGGTGTTACAGTTTATCCCAAAGGGGTTTAGTAGGGTTAATGTCAAAGATCTGTAAAAGGCACTTGAGTTCCTCCACAGCAAACTCATCAAACCATGTCTTTATGTAGCTGGCTTTGTGCACAGGAGCATGGAACAGAAAAGGGCATTCCCCAAACTTTACCCACAAGGTTGGAAGTGCACAAGTGTCTGTATATATAATAGTAACCTTCACTGCAAGCGTTTGAATACTTTGGAAGGGTGTTTACTTATGTTGCCCTCTTACACTACAACAGAGAAAAAAATGAAACTTTGATCATATACAGTATATGTGTGTGTTTGTGTGTGTAAAAAGAGGACAGACAGAAGATGCCCTTATGGTGCAGTAATGATTTAGCATTAGTGTTGGATGTCATCTAGAGAAAATGGGTATTACTAGACATGTGCGATTCGTTTAGTTCCCAATCAAAATTCGGAGGAAATTTCCGAAATTTGGACATTCAGACACATCCGAATTGCCCAATGCATCTGAATGTGTCTAAATCCGAATTTCAGATCCCGTCTGAATTGCGTTCAAAAATGAAATTGAATCCGACATGTGAATTTTCTGGCCAATCAGATGTGGGTTTTTTTAATGCGTCCGAATGGTCCTGAACACGAATTTTCATTATGGCAACATGGGAGCCATATACAGTATACAGTATACAATATACATATAATACTAAAGCTGAGGCTCCTAGACTTGAATGGCATTTGGGAGCTCCCGAATGCTATTCGGGTCTGGGAGCCTCAGCTTAAGTAATAGATGTAAATGGCTCACGGATCCAAATGCCATTCTGGGAGCCATATACATGTATTACAAAAGCTGAGGCTTTAGTGGCATTCAGATCCCAAATGCATTCGCATCTAAGAGATTAAGCTTTAGTGTTAATATCTGTATATGGTTTTCTGTGTTATCCGCAACAAAAATACATAAACTCTTCCGAAACAAATGGAAATTTGGATTTTTTCTAAATCCGAAACCGAATTGAACTTCGGATCCAAATTCCGAAATAACTAAATATCCAAACCAAACCAAATTTTTCTGCAGCTTACATGTCTAGGTATTACCAATGCCATGGTTGCAAGTGACCATAGAATATTGGTAACCACATCCTTCCAGTGAAGCTTGTAGTAAATATAGCTGTTTCCATGCAGAGATCATGAATCATGGTCCTTCTCTATGCCTGGAGGAGCCCAATCTCACATCTGCTTTAAGGACATCATAATGGTGTGGACACCTTGGTAGTGGTAATTTAAAAAATCCCATTGTTTGCTTGTGTGGCACAGGTGCCTGAAGTAAGGTAAGGGTATTGATGATGGTGCTGTTTGATAGTGCAGGAAAATACAACTCTTATATGTATTTTCTTAAGAAGTCACTTTTTATTTGCATAGCATATATGAGTTTATGACTGTCGGTCAGTCATCAGTAAAAAGTCATCATCTAAAAAGTATGTAGAAGAAACGTTTTATAAAAAAGATTTTTGTTATATATAAATAACCAAAAAAGGTATTATGGATGGAAGAAATTATAAAATTGTAGTACTGACACCTTATCCACACTAAAAAGATAGTAGCCATCCCAAACTCAAAGAAAGATGAAAAAAGTTAACAGAATTTTGTTTATACATATACAAAGAATGTAAAAAATCATAGGGAATACATATGCAAAAGATCAAGAAATAAATAACGAAAATAATTAAATTAATAAATGGAAAAAAACTTCCCATGAACTGATGTCAGGGGAAGCACAGAATTAATATCGTAATAGATATGTGCATGAAGTTTATCTGTATGAATCATATAAAGGAGATCCTGGTGTGTAGTTTCTAAAAGAAATACATACTTTATATATATATATA